TTTTTTTTTTGAAACGGAATGGCACAAAAGTCATTCTTAGTTTCGGGCCGTCGCTATATACACAAACCTAGAGAATCCTAGAGATATGTTATGAATACAATGGAATGCATGAAATATATCCTAAAGTATGCGGACCAGTCCTTTGTCAATCAAGAATCTCTCGGGTATGGTTCAACCCAAGACAGGTTGCCAGCTGGCCAACTGCTTCAAGCATTTCCAGCTGGAGAAAATGGCCGGCCAATAATTTTCTGGTTTTGGGTCCTGTTTCTGGTGCTAGTTGGTTGTCGCTGCCAGGTCTTTTGCGGGCTTCAATACACTAATGAACGTCGAGGTGCTTTGTATGGCGACCAGCGATAATGCAGTGTCAGCGAGATGATTAAAATAGCAGATACAACCTGCATCTGCAAGGCCTCAACGAGCAGCTCGACTTACGTCAATCTGCTCAAGCTGTCAGCACCGGCCTTTACTATCGACAAAAGCAAATTTTTCAACTTGAAACAGTTCTCCAGCACTCTGCAGGCACTTCATGAAATTGTTGGAATTCATCTATCCTCCCTCAAACAGTCATGGAAGTGGAATATACGTCATATATTGTTATAAAGTATATAAATCCAAAGAAAACCCCCAGATCTTGCTTATCCTTACTCCAACAGCATGGCACAACCAAACACGCAACACTTATTCAAGCTTTGAAGCCCCTGAAAAGGTCACTGGTATCGTCGCTGTGAGCAAAGAGAGCAGCATCTTCCGGGCCAGCCGCTCGATCTGCGAAGCCGCAATGCCAACCACCAACATTGCTGCGGTTTCAAATGAAAGGTCTGCTTCCAGTCACAAATAAAGCAGTCAGCGTTGAAGACCAGAAACGGAACATGCAACAGAACTGGAAGTCGCAAGTACACTCTTGAGAAAGGCACCTAACGTGCAAGCAAAATATCGTCATAGAGAATTAAGTCTATATACTGTAATTAGGAAGAAGGAAGCCTTAAGCAGGAAACCCAATTGACTCCGTACTTGATCCTTGGACTGTCATCTCTGTTATGTGGCTTTAAATTCGTCGGAGTTGCCCTGCCTCCCAAGCCCTGCACTGTGGCCTATAGGGTTGAGTCCTGGGTGTCAAAAGGCTACTGCGATTGTGGAACAGCATGGCAAACAAATATATTTTTATATAGCAAATGGCTCCAGGACAAATCAAAGAATGCAGAAAAGCATAGAAAACAGATGAAACAAGAACAAGAACTAGACAAATGGCAAAGGCTCAAATAAAGAACATGTCTCGGCATCTCCACTTCATCACTCTTGGATAGTGCCTTAGGTGACTCTGCCACACCATCCAAAGCTGGGTACATAAGCAGCTTCCTAAGTCAATCCCACAAACTCATGTAGATGTGAATCATATACAGTAAGTATTGACTAAAGTCAAGAGCATGAAGGATAGAAAATGCAATGTGATGACAATGGATTTCGGCAAACCTGTGTAGCGCATGATAGCGAATCAATGGTGCAAACTGATTCAACATTCTTGCGCAACACAGTCTCGTGGCTGCTGCAATGACACAATGCGCAGGACAATCCATACCACAAAGTGCGAGTATCACACACCATGGTTTGAGCTTGGTAGCGTGTAGAGCAGTTGTGCTGCCACTATGCCGATGTCTTCTGCAACCGAAGACGTGGTCTGTTCCGACTCACAATTCTGATCGGTTTGCAGCTCAGTGGCAACGCGATACCAACTGCCAGTTCCTACGGCAAAGCACACCAGGATTGCAGCTGAGATGACCAACCAGTCCAGTGCAAAGCCCGGCATGAATGGCATCAAGAGATCCTCAAGAATGATCGGCGATGTCTAACCGCTTGGTCATTGTTTTCGTTTTCAATCAAGATTGCTGATATTTGTCCATTTCACTCTTCACGGGTCTGTAGTTAGGCTGTAGGAGGGCTACTGAGCTACTGCTATAATAAGGGCATTGAGCTCATCAATGCCCGAGTGCTATAGAATCTCACTGAGGAGGAATAGAGTTTCGCAATTTTGATGTACATTTCTATAATTATGTACTATATAGATGGGCACAGCGAGCATCAATGATTGCCTTCTTCTGTCAAGAATCGCCACCTTCGTCGAAAGGCTTCAACCGGAAGGCAATTAAATAGTTCCCAAATAAAGAAGTGAATCCAGGAAGGAAGACGTTTGTCCCAACCACCACTGAAATCAATGGCTCCTGCAAAGTTCAGGATGAAGCTTTAAACTTGAAAGAATCACTGACGGGGTCTGTGCTTTTGTTCAGCAACCACAAGAGCCAAGAACACCAGAGATCTGTTAGAATGAAGGAACATGGCCATGGCTCCTTTACAACTGCCAGGATCAACATCAAAATGAGAGGTATAATGCTCGAAGCCATGTGAATTGTCATCAGCCCAGGTGAAAGGCCAAATTGCCTGCCACTAATAGTGTGGCTTTCAGAATGCACAATGCTTTTTTGCTGTTGCATTTCCTGCGTCAATGATGGCATCTTTGAATACAGCAGGGGGCATATGAACAAATCTGGCTAACAAACATCTTGATCCGCTACACATAATTACGCATATGGAGCCTTTACCATGGTGAGTCACCTTGAAAAGGGCTTACAAATGGCTTTAATGCAATTATTATCATCCGAATTTGCAGCAAATGTGGCAGTGAAGCGAAAGTCCAAGTGTGACAAAGCCTGCAATTACAGGGTGTGGAATGGTATGGACGGGCAGTCCCTGGAGTCTCCGTCCTAACTGATTGCAAAGGCTGATCGAATCTTGTAGCTAACATCGGGGTCGGAATCTGGAAACGTCTGCAATGTCTTTGCCGACATGTCTTCGTCTCTGATAACAACGGGCAGTTTGAAGTTGGCAACAACCCCCCTTGCCTCAGCAAGCAATCGGTGGATATGCTGCTGCCACTACCACCCCCTTGTGCGAAGCCTACCACCAAATCTGAAGATTGCAAGAACCACTGGAGGTTGTAATGCAGCTGTTTGAAGGTATCGGTTTGCATCACAGCAGACCTTGGTAGTAGGAAATGGAGCTTGGAAACACCGTGCCCAAGCTACAACACCTTGCGTGGATAGAAGCTAAGTGACACCACGATGCTGGACACGGTGGCAAATGCCATGAGCTGATTGATCAGAACTGAGCTTTGTTTCCTGAGCAGAATTGGGCTCTGGTGGGCTCGTGGATTCCATGGGTCAGTGGATCCGTCATTCTCTGTAAGTCTGATGCTACAGAGGGCATCAGAAGGTATCAGCATCTCTCACTGGTGTTTTTGCAATGTCAAACGGCTCTTCCGATCAGACCCTTGACAGGTCTAGCGTGTAGGGGCGATTCACCCATTGACCAATCAGAATGCGAACATGACTCGATATCCGCCGATATCCTCAATATGCTCGCAGCAAAGACGTATTCTCATGGGGTCATAGGATGTTATTTATTCTTATTTATTAGTTATTTATAGAAAGTTTAATGGATTCAATCGAGGGCAAACCAATTCTTTGTCGGCAATGTTGCAAAATACGAATCTGCTTGGTTGCTGCATCGAAAGAGAACACACCTGCGTATCACTTGGCGCCAAGTCTCTTCTGACCAGTGGCTGTCAAAGCGCTTGCGACTGCTGAAAAGAACAACCATGTATCCTATCTGCGCAAATCAGGAAAACGCATCCCAGCTCTCTATCAGGAGAGGACAAGCAAGGAAGTATAGTCAATGCCCAGTATGGCATGAGATGATGAGGCGTTCAAAGCAAAGGAACATGATCTCGGAAAGTCAGAATAAGTCAAAACTATTGGTCTGCGCCGTTGTCATCCTCTTTCGTTCTACGGAGTTTCAGGACACTGCAGATTTAGGAGCCTAGAATTGGATGAATATTGGATTGGTGCCAGTTGCCCTGGTTTGGAGAAACTCTAAACACACAAAATAAAGTGAAGGGAATGCAATAGCTTTGACCAAAAACCGTCTATATCAGTGACTAAGAGGAACTCTTCGCACTTCATGTAATACATTATGCAGTTGCATTTGCTCATGCCTCCCCGCTCAGCGCTAGCACTTGTCGGCTGTCCTTCACAACGTAGTACGTCAGTGCCCGAATCAAGCCAAAGACAGAGTCCTTGTCACAACTTCTGAAGGGTCTGTGCTCTTCATCACACGATGAAACCGCAAAATTGTGCACTGCGATACCTGATAGCAATCTGAAAGGGAAACTTGTTGGTTCACCTTCCGCGTCTGGCTTCATGCTTTGGTAACTCAAAGCATTCTCATGAGCCTCAGCTGGACCTGTTGAGTTTGATCCTGCTTGAAGTTTGAAACACAGTTTGATCATATTTCCTTCGTTCTGTCTGCGACTCACAGGTGTTTCTCCACTCTCTTTTCAACGGAGCAGAACATGGCAAGTCTCAGAACATGGAGCACAACTCAACGGGTTGCCGTCAGCTGTGCCATACTTTTCGGAACACTTCCAGCACCTCATCAATCTCACGGAGTCGCAACAGGTCACCGAAAGCTTCGTATCAATCCCGTTTTTTTTCTTTGACAGGCTTTGCTTGAACATTTTGCACAGTGGAAGCTCATCGGAAAATCCTGCATTGACCTTGAACTCATTCAAGTAGATAGAACATGGAAAAACGCCCGGGAAGCTTGACTTTTTGAACTGAGGCACCCATCATCCTTATACCCCGTGCGGCACATCGAACTAAACACCATCTGCGATCGCTTTGAATGGTCAACACCTCAAAATAAACAGAAACGTAAACAAGATGAAGAACAACATCTCATTTGACTCATGTGAACAAAAAGCACATCGCATGCATGATGCTCAAGAGTTCCAATGTGTCAGACTCCAACAATCTTATTCAATCTCTTGCAAGGACCCAACAACAAACTTGCAAGGCTTACATCTGCCACACAGATTGGGCGGTCAAACATGTTCGGGAAGCTCCCTGCAGAATTTGCCTGCTTTTGCTATGTGAGCTTTACGTAGTTTAATTGGTTTCCTCTGCCGTGCCTGCCTGGCAAACTCTTTATTTCACCACCAGGACAAGCCGAAGGATTTGGACAATAAGTCGACGAAGATAGATTCCACCAATCGACCTACAGCTGAGATTCTCAAATCTAACCTTTTGATAGAAACCCGCCACTAGAGCTTAACCTGTAGCTGGCTATTTATTAACTCGAAAGCCCAATGAACACTCAATGAACATGAACAAAACATGACAGAACCCCAAAAGTTGCACTCCTTACTTCTGGGGCAAGCCACTGGTCACTTGGGGAAGGTTCTTCCGCAAGTCTAACATACAAACACCAGGCCTAGAGATGGCCAAACGAATTACACTGATCTTCTAAATACAAATTCTGAAAGAGAATCTAGGCGCTGCGCCGTCATTCCCAGCGGCATCTTCAACCCTGTGGACAGGCACCACTCTGCCTGCGAAAGCATCCAATTTTATCTTGCAAGACCACTGAGACCCCCCAAAAGCCCAAAGGCGAGGTGCCACGAGATGCCGAGAATTTCTGGATCTTATCCGATGATGTGAGAACATGTTGCGCCGCTACAAGCGAAAACAACTGGTTAATTATTTATGAGAAGAAAACAACAAACGTCAACACCATGCAACAACTACGCAGCTCCAGCTGTCTGACCGCCCTGAAGATCCCCTGAATGGTCATTTCTTGCCCCCTCTCAACTTGTTTCAACTTGACCGATCGGACTTTGCAAAGGCTGCCTTCTCTGGGCATTGTTCGCACAAGGCATTGACAGCATCGACCAAGCGGGTCGTGCCCGCAGGGCATTCGAAACCTCACAACTCATCAATGTTCTTTGAAACCTCTTAGGAGCAAGGACGCTACCAGGGGCTCCTGGCATCGCTACTAGGAGCAAGGACGCTACTGGGGGCTCCTGGCATCTCTACTAGGAGCAAGGACGCTACAAAAAGTGTGGGTCCTCGTTGTCCTCGTCCCAACATGAAACTCAACATTTGTACGGCGTTCCAGGACAAGTTGCATCCTACGATGGAGGACCGGGTGGACGATCGTTCTCCGCGCCCCGCGCCCCAGGGGCAGGACAAATCTCGAACAGAAACTTGAGGTGCCTGCAAAATGTGAGAAACAATGATACAAGGAATAGAGTTCAATGTATCAAGTCTTGCTCTTGGCTTGGAGCTAGCAGCTACAAATTATGTTGTGGGTATATCCGCACTTGGAGCTAGCAGCTAGAAGTTGGATCAGCCTTGGCATGATCTACCTGTCCACCTGTGCAAAATAAAGGAAACGCCCATCAGCAATAACGGCTTCCTACATCTTCCTACACAATTGGGTAGCTTGGTTGGACACTGATCTTACACCACGTCTGCATACCATGATGAACTGCATCCCTGTTTGAACTCCAAACTCCACCCAAAGTACATCACTTGGATAAGTTTCCCTAAAAATCAAACAACCAATCATCAGTGCGAGCGAGCGCTTCTTCAAGGAAGCTCCCCCCGCGTGAGCTATCCTGTCCAGCTACTAGAAGCTAACTAGTCACCATTACTTAATTAAGTAGGCGCCTACTAAATTAAGTAGGAGCGGGCTAAAAAACAGAACATCTCAGCGCGTCAGCTTCAACAGGCCCAACAGGTCGACCAAACAAAAAGAATTGTCTGAAGGTCCAAAGAAAACAAGAAACGACATCTGCCTCCAGTTGACATTCCGACATCTTGTTGCAGCTCATGGCTGTTATGGTGACATCCCCGATGCTCTTGACCTCTTGTCGAAGTTGTTTGAATGTCTCAGTGCCCACAATCTCAATGTGGGACGATACCAGCTTTCCCACCACTGCAACAGTAGCAGAAGTTCCTCCAAGAAACTGTTGTTGCCCATCACCCAGCGATTCGCAACAATTCGATGAACGGACAAGTTGCAGGACACACACAGGTGAGAGTTACAAATGCACTTCACTCAAATGTTTCAGTACATCCACAAACCTTACAGCAAAGCAGCCACACTATATTTAAAACATATGTTTCAGGACGGATCATAAGTGGTTCCTCAAACAAACTTCTAGAGCATTCCGGTGCTTGTACAAGACTGATAACTTACAAAGGAGCTAAAGGGTCAACCACAAAAATAACACACACAACTGTAACTGCACCACGACGACGACAACAACATCAACAACAACAACAGTTACTTCCACTATACTCTTCCTCTGCTTCCACTGCTACTCCTACTGTAAAATCCTGCTTAGTCACTAGTCTCACTTCTAATTCTACTACTATTTCTACTGCTTGTGCTGTTACCCCCAGTACCACGACCACCTCCACGACAACGATGACGACAAGATACGACAACTATGGGCCCAGTCCTCCAAAGCAGCTTCAGAACAAAGCTCCCCCATGAAATTCAGCGCTACCGTTCGTATACAGAGCACCGCCACTTTGGCCTGGCTGTTTTCCAACAAAATAAGCTTGCTTCTCGAAGCGTTCCGCGCTATTTCCATCGGCAACTTGAACAGTCCACCGCTTTTGCAAGGCTCAGCACATGCACTTCATACACTAGGCCGTGTTGTCCACGAGCAACTAAAGCTAAAACATGCGATATCTGTCCGTGCTCACCATGTGAGCTCGTTACCTGAAGTAACTGCGCGGTGCCTGCAGTGCACTCATCGAAGGTAACTGCTGAAGTTACATTCAGCCGAGCTGATTGCACTCGTATCCCTCCTCCACTGCCTGCGCCAAGCAGGACTGTACTATTGCTTTTGTAAAATTTCTTTGACTTTGTGCATCGTGTCGAAACGGTTTCAAGTTTTACTTCATTACGTTCTTGACTTCACTAGCACCTTTTATGACAACGTTTTTCTTTTGGGCAGTAGCTGCTGAAATCTGCTTTAGTTCATGCCCCAGAAGATTGAACCAGATTAACCATTGGTTATGCAGTTTGAACAACTCTGCAAATCGCCATCGATCGCCTATCCTTCTGTTTTGTTAGGTCATTTATGGCCATTTAGTCTTTACAATGAAACTAATCGAATTAATGCAAAGGCCGCAAGGAAATTCTTTGGAGTTTGAGGTGTAAGAATTCACACGTCGTTGCAACGCACATGTTGATTCGGAGTGCGTGAAGTGTCTTTGAACACAATGACTCGTTGATCGACAGAAAGGAGGCTTTGGATTAAAAAGCGGTTGAATTTGACCGCCTTGAAAGCTGTGCAAAGAGAAATGAATGTCGACCTTCACACATCGAATGCTGCTTTTTGACAAACACCTTTGACAAGAATTGTGTTTTCGAATCTCGTTCAAGTATCCTCCCCTGCTCATTGTAGGGTTTTGCTCACCTCTTTCATTTTGTGTCGGAACGGCGTAGACTCGTAGACCAACATCACATGCGTGGAGCAAGGGCACACACTTCTCCACACATGAAATATGTCAGATGTCAATGTTTTTCTTCAAGAGTTATGCAATTATGTAATAGTGATGCATGACAACCACTTTCACCCCGAAGTGTCAATTGCGCCATGGAGAATGAGGATCTACGGTGACCGCGTATGTGTCATCCGCTTCAAAACTATATGAATGTGGCTTGTGTGATGAAAAAGGGTCGTGACTTATTGTGTGATGACGGGACCACTTAATGATATCTGATGTGATGGTTTGTGATGTGGTGAAGTGTATTGCAGCAGCTTGTGAAGTGGTGAGCTATCACGTGTTGCTTTGTGCTATGGCATAATGTGGTATGGTGAGCCGTGAAGCAAATCTGTGGCTACTTTTCTGTCGAAAGCTCTACTCTTACTCTGGGCCACTTTTCTCATCTCCTCTCTAAAAGAATTGTTCTCCGCTACTTTTGGCTACTCTTCTCTGCCACGTGCTAATTGTAGTTATTACTCTTTTCTAGAAGGAAAGCTCTACTTTTGCCTATTTTTTTTCAAGCAAAAATTTTGCCAACTCCTACTCTTGGATAGTCGCCGCCATTTTGGCTCCTTGTCTTTGGACATCCTCGCAGTCTTTGCAATGCGTTCAGACTTCTCCGATTCCATTTCCCCATAGAACTGCGGCACAAGCACTCTGGGTAAAGCTCGCGCCCGCCGCCCTGACTGTCTCGGAAGTTCCTCTCTCTTGGAGGGAGTCGCTAAAAAGATTGCGGAGTGCCCAGTCTTGGGGAGCTTGCCTTCTGCACGGCAGCCTTTGAACACAATCTTCCCACTCAAATTGAGATCGCCTTTCCGAAGGGCACAAGCAATTGCAAAAACAAGCAAGACTGAACACATCTACAAAGTTCAAGCGATAAGGACTCAGCCTTCATTCTTGAGATGCTCTAAGGCCAGTTTCAGAAGGCTTGCGTTGAAGGAAAGGGCAAATCATTCACAAAAAGGAACCTCGGGAGAACACTGCGCCACCATCTCTGGATGCCACACAATCTTGGAAGATAGCAGTAGATCTCTCGGTCCTTGAGTCGAGGCAACGCTTGGAGATTACCAAAAAGGGTCAAGCTTGGGCACTTCTTGCATTCATGCAGCTGTTTCCATTCATCCATGAACATGGCACCTGCAGCCGTTTCCATATTAAATTCATTAGCTTGAACTTGAAACATCTTTGGAACTCAGAAAACCATAGAAAACCAAACCTGAAGCCACTCTGAGTTTTTGAACAATAAATTTGCCTCCAAGATCTCCAGTGCACTCTTTAACCTGAAGTTCTGCGTTGTTCTGGTAGATCCTCTCAGCATAAATGCCACCACCCTTGCCTGTTCGCAGCTGTTTGCTCCAACTCAAAGCATCATGCTAAGGCTGTTCAGAATGAATGTTTTGACACGGCATCAGGACATATCATGAAATATCTCCCTCTTTGAGAAACAAGCATCTATATATCCTGTCGGAACTAGACTGAACCCAAAGCTCAGGTGTAGGTTATGCAAGCCATGCCAGGCTTTCTGGCCAGCTTGACAAAGAGCCGCGGCTGGTGCCTCCTTCTCCTAAGGCATGGCATTGCCGTATTTGTAACCTGCCCGAATGCTGCATCATATCTTCACTGGAAAAGAGACCTCCACCGTCACCTGAAGCACGGAAAACAAATCGGTATACTTTGAACAACTGTTGTTTGCTCAAAAGTGGAAGAAAATCAATCAATGATGAAACAAGCCTGAACAAAGGGAATGCAACTCAAAAGGGTTCTGGGATAAGGTTTCTCAGCTTCCCCAAGTCCCATGCTTGCTGAATTATTTCCAACACATGTCAGTCTATTGGATCACTCCTTGAGAAGGAGTTGTTGGTTGCCCAAGATCAGTTCCCCTTCATACCCATCACTCACCCGGTGTTGTCTTCACCAGAAAAGCTTCAAGAATATGCTCTGCAGTCCCTGTGCCCCTGTGGACCATTGAATCGAATCATACTGAATCCATCTTTCATTTTAAGTTGGTGCTTTTTGATTGTATACTCGGATTTTTTTGAACACTTCGGGTGTGTTTGAGGTTTTGTCGAGGCGGTCGGAGCTCTTGATGGGAATCAAATCAAAGCTGGCGGAGGTGTTCAGTGTAATGCTTGTCAGCAAAGGCTTTGGCAAGTGAAAGCAGGGACAAATAGACATCTATGTCACAGACATAGACTATGTCTGCTTTTCCGCTGCTTTTTGCTTTAGTGTTAGCGGGACATTTTAGCGCATTGAAGTCTAAGGATGAGTTCCTGAACAGTCTTGATGGACTAAGTCATGTTACATTCTTCAGTTATTGGTGTTTTTTGTCGAGAACAAACTCAGGCTTCGACTAGTATAACGAACTCTGTATCTGCAAAGCGACCAGAATTGGTCAATGTTCGGCAGAATTGGTCAATGTTTGGCATCGACCAGAAAGCATGCTGTACTTGATAGTACAATATTTTCCTGACCTTTCCTGAAATCTAGGAACCAAATGAATATTGTGAGCCCTTCTTCAAGGAGCTTCCTTGAAGAAGCGTGAGCTATCCTGCATCCTACCAAGGAGCTAACTGAGCCCTAACTTAGTCAAGTAGGCCTAGATTGTGCGTAGTAGGGGGGAAAGCGGGCCTTTTAAAGAACGGAGAGTGTCAACTGGTCACAGGTCTCCATGAGCAAGTCAGTGGAGGGATCTAAATCGAAAACATGGCCGAAGAGCTGGCCTTTGCCGATGCTGAAACAGATGAGGATATCTTTGCTGCTCTGGTGGGACATACAGTGCTTGTTGAGAGCAAGGTGTGGGAGCGGATTGAGCCGTTCTGAGTTCAGATTAGTGCAGTCAGAGTCCACCCAGGATCCAAGGCACGTGTCGGTACACCAGCAATCGGTTCAAAGTTTCAAAGTTTGTACAGATCAAGATTTGTGATGGCCTGAAGTACCAGGGCAAGAACAGCAAAGCTTTTTAGCTTGTCAAGCTTGTGAAGAAGCCTGGGGGTGTCGAGGGCTTTTGAAGAAGCGTTGACCTCTGGAATCTTGCGATGTGGAACTATTGGGGTCCAGAGTTGCAGACCAAGTCCCACGCGTCAGGAAAGCAGTTCAGGCTGGTCTGCTGGGATTGGGATGCGGTTGGATCTGGATTTTGAGAAAGCACCCTGGAATTCTTAGAGCCATGATTAGCTATGAAACATGGGGCACGCTGGCTTTGAACAATGCAAAGTCGTAGGGCAAATGTGGCAATGAACTGTCTACTCGTACAGTATTATAGTAGTTAGTAGTGGTAGTGGTAGTGGTAGTGGTAGTAGTAGTAGTCGTCGTCGTCGTCGTAGTAGTAGTACTTCTACGGTGTCCTACTGTGTCGGTTACTTCATTTTGTCGAGGGGTGGTCCAGCATTCAGCCATGTCAATTGATCATATTCTGACTTGACTATATAGTCTTCCTAACATGTTCCAGCTCCATGCTAGTGAGTCGGAGGGATATCGCATTCAATAATCATGGCAGTAGTAGACAGGGTTCGAGTTCTTCAGCATCACACCAGCTTGCGCAGAAAGATCCTGGTAGTTGCAACTGACCAAAGTGTGCCCTAGTCTGTCCCAGCCTTCAGCCGAGCAGTTTTCAATAGTCACATTGCCTTCGATCTGGCGATACAATTCCACCACGTATATGCCTCCACCATGACCTGCACAAATACATTTCAGCAGCTGATGCCAGCATATCTGTGAGATGCTGGTGAACACTATCATAACCCGCGAGGTTGGCCCAATATACCGACACACCTTGAGACATGTCAAATGCATCATGCATAAATTATACATATTATGGGTTGCAGGCCATCGCTTCTAGGTTGGAGGCCATTGCTATTAGAAACCAAAGAAAAAAGAAAAGGAAGAAAGCTCTAACATATTGTGTTGTGCCTGTCAAAGCCAAAAAGTCACATGACTCTGTCACATGACCGTCATGACTCATGACCGACACGATGGACCGCCAAACGCCGAAAGCCAAGCGACTTGCTTTGAGACTTTCAGCTCCTTGGACCGATAGAGCGAGCAACTTGCTGAACGCAAGTTGGGTCGTCTGTTTTAGGTCCACAGTGGCTCAAGCTGTTTGAGGGACTGCTCGGAATTTGCAACTGTCTTGGCAATTCGCTAAACCAACATCTTTATCTTTTTGGCTTAAGAAACAAGAAATTGAATCAAGGCTCGAAGACCATACACTTCAGGAGGACCCTGTACAGGGTCTTGCCTTTTGTTTTCACCTTCCACAGTCTTTTATGCCTTTTGTTGCTGATCAACGATGCTTGGCATGATGTTCTGGATGCTCCTTGCCCCAAAAGGCCCCTACACCAACACATGCTAGCAACGCATGTGCAAAATCAGCGGCTGCTTCCCAGCACCCTATCTGCTGTTGCAAGTGTTCACCACAAGAACTCTTTACTTCTGTCAACTGAATAAGTCTCAGAAAGTACACGCACCTTGAGCCTGTTCTATTGCAAAGTGGGAAACATGAACAACCAACAAACAACTCACATCGCAGTTCCTGTGTGTTGCAGTTAATTATGGGGAACGCAGACTGAAGGTACTACAAAAGAGAATCTCCAAATTGTAGTAGCAAACTGGCAGCATCATTCTGACCTCTTTGCTGACAAAGTTGCTGCAATCGTTGATCATCAAATTTCCCCCAAACACACCAGCTTGTTCAGCATGTATGGCACCTCCATAGCCTCCAAACAAAAAAGTATTGACAATTGGAAAGACACGGTGTAATCAAGGTCCAACCCATAGCGAGCAACAATAATTACAAAAGAACACAGCCCGCATCCGTTCTGTATCAACCTTTTCTGTCAACAATAAGATGCATGCAAGGAGGGGGACTCAAGCTGTTTATGTTGCAGACCTTTGGAGGGTTCAAAAGGGGAAAATACGAAACACAATAGACCATGGTTCTCCTTTGTCTGTGTTTGCTTGCTTCGTATGTGCTTTATGCCTTTGGCATTGTATCAGTATCAATTGAAACTTTACGCTCGCGAAAGGTATACGAACAAACCAACTCCTTTGCCTGCACTATTTTGTTTGTGCTGCGGGCCGTCGATTGGCAAATATTGTTCCGCTACTATGAGCTCACTGTTTCCATAATTTGTATTGTCAACGCACACTAATCAAAGAACTTCCGCTTGTTTGTTTTGCTCAACTTCTTCCTGCGGCCAACTTTCAAAAATTTGGCACCCAAAGCCCCCCACAATTAGCTTGGCACACCTTGTTCGGTCAACTTTATTGCAATGCTAATGGCCGCTCTTCCCTTTCTTTCTTCACTCCTTTAGTTTCACAAATTGCTCGTGCTGGCTCATTGTTTGGTGATGCCTTTGGCAGCTTGCCGATTCAGTGAGACCGACTTGAACCTACTTGATCCTTTGAATTTCTTCTCCTTAGCCATGTCTCCTTCTCCGCCACCCCTATTGTGTCTCAATGCTCCCTGGACCCAGCTGCCCCAAATTGTCCAGAATCCCACGGCCACCTCCAGATAACCCTTCGTTATTTTTACTTCCCCAATATTTAGGTCACTTTGACACAGGAAAATAACATATCATTGGATCTCTGTGAAGAGACTTAGTCTTTTGAAACCTCTCATGATTCACCCTCCTAAATAGTCAACTGTTTGGTCCCTAGACCTCTGGGGAACGGGGGGAGTCTTAATCCGGTGTCCTCATTATGCAGTTGTGTAGAAAGGTGTTCTTTCTTAGAGAAACAATGATAAACAATGATAAACAGGTTGGTCGCAGTGGCTTGGCTGCCACGGATTGATGAAAGACACTGTCTGTGGAGCCTTGTTGGCCTACTCCTGGTCCAGTTTGGGTCGACGTACAGTCTGACCATCTTCAATACACCAGCCCTGCACAATTGCCACTGCCGCCTTCAGCACCCATAACTACAACAGACATTGGTGATCTCACTTGTTCCGATTGTCGGCAAGGTTTATAGATCACTGCTGATTGCTTTCGAAACCAAACCCTCCTGACGGTGTTTTTTCGCGTTTTTCTGCTGCCTGGGTGGAAACCGGATCCTCTGGCCTCCAGACATGTTTCAAGGCGGCATACACGAAGCTTTGAGTGTGAAACTGAATGCTTAAACAGATCTGAAAGCTACTGCAATTGCTTGAAAAAAAATCGCAAACACCTTGTTTACATTTGTTTATCTTCAGCTGGTTGACAGGGTTCACTACCACAACCATGAACATAGTTTTCCTCCATCACCAGTGAACAGGGGTGACCTGGGCCGATTCTTTTGAGTGTTTCCTGGTGTTTCTTCGCAACGCTCAAAAGCCGTTTGCAGACTACCAATGTGGATGTGCGGTTCCAGAATCTCCGTCTCCTCGATCAGTTTTTTGGCATTGCAAACAATTACCTTTCAACAACCGCGCGTACAGTACTGTACCTCATAGTAGTTGTATAGTAGTTGTAATGCGTTGTAATGTGATTCTCGCAATTCGTGGGATTTTGCCTCCAATATTGTGCAACTCCTTGTTATTCGGTGGTTGTGACTCAACCATTTGTATTGTAAGGGAAGATTTGGGGGTTGATCGATATTTTTTCATCCTGGAATGGCAATTTTTCGCAGAACAAAGATGTCTTGTGCGGCCTCGTTGCGAAGCATGGTCCTACAAGCATGTCTAGCTTACATGAGCCGAAACTATTCATGTTTGTATCACGTTGTATCACAAAACCAATCAAGCAAGGGACTGATATCTTGTAGCGTGACCCCAACAAAGGGTTAAGGGTTTCCACAACTAGTTGGGGTCATGCGACTGCGCGACATCTGTGCGACAAACAATATCCTATGTCCTGGCGGAGGCTTAGAATAGGCTATGACTAGAGTCAAGCATTATTCAACCCAATCCTCGTGCCAGCTACCAACACAGGGTGATGCAGCTTAGGGAATATTGGGGGCCTCAACCTGGGAACCTGGACTTTCGCGGCGCATTTGCGAAGCTTTTGCAGATCTTTCGCGAAATTTCACTGGCGATTTCCCTGGGAAGGCGTAAAACTTGCAAACATCTGCGCAGCCCGTCAAAGCAGCTGCAGGTCGTTGCCTCGCTGTCAGGGCTGTGCCTACTCAGGTTGCTAGTCTGTGACAGTGGCTGACAGTGGGGACAGGAATCGGAGAATCCTTTGCGCACTGCGAGGGCTGGGCAAGGAAATCTTAAGGCTTCAATTCGTTAGTCTGTGACAATGGAGACATGCGGAGACACTTCCGCCCACCGGCTCTGCTGGAGGATTGCCTTGTATTTCTACCATTTGTCGGTCGGTGGAAAGGAAAACATATGAAAACGAACACCTTCGATAAATCTTTTGCAAAAAAAACACACTATATTTTCGCGAATCTTTCGTGGATGATTTTAACAACATCTGAATGACTATTCTATATAAAACTCCTTAGACGGGGTTTTAGATCAACTCCCATTTGCACTGCACTTGAAACCCAACTCAAGCGCTTCTGTTCCTGCTATGCAGTGGTGTCCTTTGAATGCAGGACGCCCAGCATCAACCACAAAACACAACGATTGAAACCAAGTTGCTGAAGATGCTGTGATTGTGACGTTCCCGCCAGATTGCATGTATTTCCCCGCAGCAATGGCACCACCAAAACCACCTCCAGTAGCAGCATGGTTGTAGCTGAGATTTGGGTGCAACACCGCACCCGACAACATGCTCAAAGCGTTGCCTGCATCGGATCACAAAGAAAGAACTATAGCATGTTGCTGCCAATTGAAGACCTTTCTGTCCCCACCAGCCCTCCACCTCCTTTTAAAGCTTCTGCTCTGCAGTGCTGAATCAGCAGAACCCCCTCGCTGATGTCAACCTTCCAGGCCGAAATAGCTCCACCCTCACCTGCGCAAGCTGACGCAAGCTGCATCTAAAACAGTTGCCAACCCCAGAGCCATGGGGCCCTTGGTACTCGGTGCCAATGAGTCTGAAAGGAAACACCGGATCCATGCTTGACATGACACCAATGCATTCTGGTATGCATACCGTATGGGTGTCAGAACAGCTCACAAGACTTTAACTTCATCGTTTGGCTGGATGTGACTTCTACGACGCCGCCTGGATGATCAACTCCTCTCACAGAGCAATGCTTTAGAATCAAAGTGCCGCCAAATACGTCGAAGCGGCGCGCTGCAATGGCACCCCCTCCCCTTGCTGCCACAGCTGCTCCTGGTTGCTCCAGTATTGGAACTCACAAAAGAGATTGAAAAAAGAAGGTAAAGACCCCCTGAATAAAGAACCTTTAGAGGAGGCTCCTTTTCAAAGGGGGCCAAAGCAACCCTTATATATAACTTCATTTCTTTACTGGCAAACGAGTTGTCAGTCCTATTTCCGTCTCAACGTCCGAGAAGTCAATGTCATCACCTCCTGAGCTGCGAGCTGCACGGGCTGGATCCTGCCCCGGTGAAAGCCATTTAAATCCTCCCTACAAGCAATGGCCTCCACCCTGGTAGCGATGGCCTCCAACCCAATAGCGATGGCCTCCAACTTACAAGCAATCCTGCCCCAGTGTTCCTTGCATCCTGCCTTGCCCATTGATGATTGCTTCGCAATTCTCGATCTGCAAAGAACCACCTTTGAAGCTGAATTCATCTGCCCAAATAGCTCCTTGCAGGGGGTCTAGAATGTTTTTTGACTCCAAGAAAGCGCATCTATCACCGTTGTTTGATATCTTTGATCAGCTGAATATACAGGTTGGAGATATGCACACTGAAGCTAAAACTTGAGCTGGAGAAATGAATCAGCCTTCTGAACTGAATGGCAAAATCATCGAGTTTGGTTTGCAAGCCGAAACATACGAGTCATACGTCAGGTTGCTACGAGAATTTCTGACATTTGTGCCTCTGCACACTTACAAACTAAGGCACTCACAGGTGCACTGCACTCACTACACTTCACAACGCAAGCAAGAATCTTGCCTCCTGGGCCATGGGCTCTGCAGTGCTGGATGACAATCTGGCCACCCGTCTGTTGAAAGTGATCAGCTTGAATAGCTCCACCCGAGGTGAAATCTCTCCAATGGCCTGCGACAACAGTGCTGGTAGAATTGAGCCACACAGGTTGACCTCCCAAACAGCACAGTGCAGCTCGACAAAGCTCAATATACCGTGTTAGTATTTTGTTGCATTGCCAGAAGCTACATATGGTCACATCTCGATAAACACATCCACCAGTTCACCCTCTTAACGTCAGTTCAACAATCATCGGCCTGCAACTGTGCTGCTGTTCTGAATTGTCAAGATGCCCTGAGTCATATTGAACTCATTTGCATTGATGGCACCTGTGGCACACTGGCCAGACTGGCCAGACCACGACAATGCCTGGTCTAGTAAACATGCATTTGATTTGTTGATATATGCAGGCAGGACGGTGTTCAACTGTAGCTAATCCAAGCATAAACATACAGTACAATGAGGACATATCAAAGTCAATCAACTCTCTTCGCTGCACTTGTGTAGATTTGCACCTCCATCAGGACCTTCGCAATCACTGATGGACAAATTTCCGTTGATAATAAGAACACCCTTCACTGTGATGCAGGTGAAACCAGTTGCGACCGCCACAATCATCAGGTTGCCTTCAATCTCCAAGTACCTTAGCGAGTCTCAGCAAAATTGCCAATCACAAAAAACACACCGACACCCATACCCTGCATATCCCGACTGTGTTCCAATTGTTCAAAAGTAAGCATATTCATGTATGTCTACAAATGTGTGTGTTCATCTTGCAGTATGCAGCATGCATAAACAACATTAAGTTGTCAGCGATCACCTAAAATATCTGAAGTGCAACGGAAACTCAGCACAAGACAGAGGTGATGAGAACGATCATGAATCGCCACAGCAATCACAGCAACAGGTCAAATTCAAGTATTAAAAAGCTATGTATTTGAGAACAACCCACCTTGTGTACAACGACTTGTTTGCCAAACGTACATAGAATCTTGGCGCTTGTTTGATGTTCTCATACAAATGCTAAGCCTTTCTTTGCTCAGCATGAAATGTTCGGAAGTGTCATACTGTTACGCATACGAGCCGTTGCGTGATGCAGAAGCGTCCCTAGGAAAACATGGAAGGTAAATCAACTTTGATATTCTACTGCTACTGCAAGCGAGAAAATCACTGACTGTGTTCACATGCTACTATTTGTCCATCACCAAGTCCACGTCGCATGTGGCACGAATTGTTTCGTGAGATGCAGCCATGATAAACCACGCCAACAAGTGCAATTTCAAAGTGAAATAATGATGCAACCATGAAACTTATGTGAGCATGTGCAAATGATCCGTGAAATAATTTGTACCACTGTACCGTCCTACCATTGTATAGGATGCTCTTGGTGACTTTTGGTGTCACTTCCGGGCATGCAACAGCTTGACACAGTGATGATTAGTGACGATTAAAAAAAACATTCTTAATACGGATCAATGGCATTTGAGATTGTATTGTAGCCACGTGTCAGTGTGTGACGACAAATCGGGTGAAACGATAAGGGTTTGTGATCACGTGATGGTTTGTACCTAATTGTACAAGGCAAAAGAACAGAAAGAGCGAGAAGGGCAAGGGAAAAACAAAAAGAATATGACGAACCAAAGAGACACAAAGCAAAGAACAGGACAAGAAGAAGAGGGAACAAAAAGACAAGGGGAAAGGAACAACAAAAGAAACATTAATAGGACAACAATAGCAACATTATACAACATTGGAGAGGAAACATGTATGTTGCATGGGATCAACAGCCTGCTTGCAACTGTAACGGCTATCATGTTGTTGTCGTTTGGAAACCCCTCAAAAGACTGTCTTGGACGCTAATGCTTGGTGTTAGAAAAAGGCTTTCCAGACTTCGACAAGCAGCTACTGCAGAGGCGAAGCATGGCACCACAAAACACCATCAATGGAAGCTAGTAATACATCATCGACCCTCGCTTGCGGTGTTGCTTACTTTTGTCGCTTCGTCGGGGAAGTACTGCAATGCATTTCTCAGCGCAAGGTAGAGCCGGCCCACACCCGGCCCAAGCAGAGTCAGGTCCTTCTTGTCACACAGTGAGGTGGCTTTTTTGATCCTTGTTGAATGGCGTGAGTTTGCGTGGATCTTCATCTCTATGTTGTTTGTGAATTACAACCCTACCGTGGCGCTGGCTCAGCCTTCGGAACAACAAACACAGAACATCTGAAACGCATCAGGAGCCACGGGAAAGAGTTATGTCTGTATATATATATCATATTATGATATTTTATTTATATAATATATATTATATGATGATATTTTATTTATTATATATACTTTCAGAATTTTATATGCCTACTTGGAATGCAGAGTCTGCAGAGTGGTCATAAAGCCTTTGGCCCGCCTCACAAACTGCGCTACAAAACGTTCCACATTATGCTTCTAACTGGCAAAGGACCCTGGATTTGGCGCGGCCTGGCTTCAAACTCAGTGCAGTCTGGAGGCGGTACATCGAAAGTCAAACCACCACTCAGATACAAAGTTCCGTTATGAGCTCGTATTTTCCTTCGAGAACTCTGTGTCAAAAACGAAACTGAGACTGCATCTGACATGTTCCAACCGCTCCCTTCAACTTGTTCAGACATATCATGCCTTGAGGCTTCTTAAAGCTGAGAGAAGGAACACATCGGATTGCGACACGTGCATTTCAAACATGTAGCATAATTCACCCACTTTGACCACACCGGAACCTCACCCACGCCAGGGCTGCTCGATCACTCTCTCCTTAAACTCTTGGACAACGCTCCTAGGGTGTATGTCTCTTGTTCTGACCTCTTGAAAGTCTGCCAACCCCACTGAATGTTCATTCCCAACTCCAAATCATTGCCATTGGGATTTCCCCGCCGCGCCCTCTTATATCTTTCTAAGTGTCTCCACGCCACGGAATGTCCTTGTCGCCACCTGAGAAAACTCCAAAGCTGGCAGCAAAACTGTGATTGATTTACAGCTATGGTATTTATTTCGCATTCCACAATAGATCTGCCAAACTCGGCCACACCGACAAAGCAGTTGGGAAACTTGTTGTGTTCAGTCTGTGGGCATTCTTCAGCCAGGTGTTGCGCTCCTCTTGCTTCCAAAGGCACATCTGTGATTCCAGAGCGGATCTCCAATATCTCGTTCAGGTTGGCAGGTCGCGGGTTTCTTCGAGTGTAGTTGTCAGGAAGACTCAGAAGACCTGATTCAGATTGGGCATGGTATCATATTATATATTCCAATGTATTCCAATCATGCTGCAATAGGATCTCATCGGATCTCATACTTTGAACAGCCTCAGGACGACTGTTTACGTACATTGTACACTCATATTCGGGGTGAAGGATCAAACAAATTGATAAGGATCAAAAATTGGATTGTTTTAGGAGATCAAAAAATACTTAATCGCGATCAAAAAATTAATTATCACTTGCGGTGTCAGGTGCAATGCTTTGTGGACCTAGCAGAGCAGATTTCGTGGGTGTAGCAGGTTGCGAAGGTGGAAGTGCAGAAGTTGTTGGTAAACGCAATGCTTTGCGCACGTCTAAATGCAGATTTCGTGGCAGGTGCAGCACTTGGGGAACCTTGAAATGCAGATTTCATGGCAGAGGCAGCATTTTGGGAATGACGACATGTAGATTTCGTCGGCTTTGCTTGGGGCTTCGCTTCTTTAGAGTTTCTTTGGGCTTGGCTTGGAGCTTTCTTGGGGGATTAAAGAAGCGGGAGGGGGTTCGGGGGAGGGCGCAGCGCCTCCCCCCCACAATGCAAACAAAGTATAGGCAGCATGCTTCAAAGCAGCAGCGGCATCAGAAGGATAAAGCGATGTAGCAGGAGAGCGAGACAGAGGGAGAGAGGGACAGAAAAAAACAAAGGAGAGAAGCAGCGAGGAAACACAAAGAGAGGAACTACTAGGGCTAGGGCGTATTTGCAGTAACACTGGGGGATCAAGGCGCCAGGGGGGGCAGGGACTCATCCGCGCACTCAGTTTCGCTCATCTGCGCCGCATCATCTGCGCACACAGATATGTCTCATCTGTGCACACAAGCCTTTCGCTGGACTCTACGAGCACAGGCTTTTTGGTGGCCACTTCAAGCTCCCTGGGAAACACACATGCTCAAAATTTTACCCTCGGGTGGCCCACAAAAGGAATGCTACGTTGCAATGGCTTCTTTCTACCCTAAAATATCCTCGGGTGGCCCACAAAAGGGATGCTACGTTGTAATGGCTCCTTCCCACTCTAAATTTAACCCTCATGTGGCCCACAAAAGGGATGCTGCGTTGCAATGGCTCCTTCCTACTCTAAATTTAACCCTCGTGTCGCCCACAAAAGGGATGCAGCCTCGGACTGGCATCTTCCTACTCTAAATTCTACCCTTGAGTTGCCCACAAAAGGGATGCTGCGTTGCAATGGCTTCTTCCTACTCTAAATTTTACTCTCGGGTTGCCCACAAAAGGAATGCTACGTTGCAATGGCTTCTTTTTACTCTAAATTTTACCCTCGCGTGGCCCCCAAAAGGGATGCTGCGTTGCAATGGCTTCTTCCTACTCTAAACTCTACTCTCGAGTTGCCCACAAAAGGAATGCTACGTTGCAATGGCTTCTTTCTACTCTAAATTTTACCCTCGGGTGGCCCACAAAAGGGATGCTGCGTTGCAATAGCTCCTTCCTACTCTAAATTTTACCCTCGTGTGGCCCACAAAGAGATTTCGTGGCAGGCACAGCACTTGGTGAACCTCGAAGTGCAGATTTCGTGGCAGGCGCAGTATTTGATGCTCACTCTCCCACTCTCACCCTCCCACTTTCACTCACACTCACACTCCCTCACACTCCCACTCTCACTCACACTCACACTCCCTCTCAACCACACTCACTCACACCCACCTTCACTTCATCACCACCATCATCTCTGGACCCCAATGTGTCTAGATCTCTAGACTTTCTGCTTACAGACCTCACACACACACACTGTTTGGGGTCTCTTGCCGGGATAATTTTTTGATACCTCTCCCCATATTCGGGTAGTTTTGAAATGCACCAAGCAAAGTCCATTTTCTGGACATTAAAAAATTGAGGGGTGGTCACCATCTTTGAGCTGTGCAACAAGCAAAACTACGACGATGGTTGGGGGGGAAATGTAGCCTACGGCCGGCCTGTTGAGAGGAGGGTGGGAGTCTGGTCAGCAAGACGCCTAGAGTCCCCTTGTTTTGCCTTGTCCATCTGACTGATAGTCCCCCCGCTTCTTTTAATAATACTATATATGTCTTGCCAGGTGGCTGGAATCTCTCACGGGGAATGATGGTGCTGATGAATCAGGCCTCCACAAAGCACATTCACTTGCTCAATATTTTCCTATCACAACTGATTGCGCATCGCTACTAGGAGCAAGGACGCTACTAGGGGCTCCTGGCCTTACTACTAGGAACAAGGTTCGCTACTAGGAACAAAGGGCATCGCTACGAACGGAGCGATCGGACGCTACTAGGGAGGAAGCACCGCCGGACTGCTCTTCCTCGTTTGGACGGCTGACTGGACTGCTCCAAACACCGGCCTCCAGGTTGGCAAACCTTGACAAAATCCGAAAGGGCGGCTGAGGTTGAACCGCTTTAAACGACGCGTTGAGAAGCCTGTTCAACCTTGGCTCCAGGCGTTCTCCCAGGACACGAGCAAGCGGAATCAGTAGGACAAGCAGAACGCTCATCCTGAAAGTCCCAAGATTGACAGTGGAATGGATCGAACGGCTGAAACAGTGTGAGACATTGTCACTTTGGGAAATTGCCAGGTTCGCTTACAGAGTGTAGTGAGACCAAGGCCTATCATATCAAGTATGTTTCAACATTTCAACCTTTCTTTGGACAGCCTCTCCTCCGCGAACAGTAAATTTGTCACACAACGTTGCGGCTAATCTTAGATTGAGCCACATGGCTGGCCATGCAAAATCTTGCTCCCAACCAGCCCAGTATGTATCACTGCCATACGGGAAGAACAAAGGGGAAGACACTGAGAAATGCAACAAAGAGCTTGCCTGGTGGCCTAGTGTGGGTGCTTTGCTTCACACATTCGCTTTATAGGTTGTCTCCAGTTTGTATGAAACTGGCCTTCAAATGCAACTTACTTTCACAATGGCTGGACTCTCTGCTATTTTTTGTCCAAAAACTTAACGCAACATCTCTTTTAAAGACAATTGAACAAAGCTGAGCGATTTTGCAAAAAAAACATGGACACATCAGGACACCCTTCAATTTTGCTTGTCCTCAGACTCAGTCAGGCATAAAGATCGAAAGTCAGAGTCCAATCCGCACAGGACTGGCATCCCTCACCGCAACGGCCTTGCTGAGATGATAAATGGCAATCTATGTCTTGGACTGACATGGAACCAAAAAAGAACTTCAACTGTTCACTTCACCCCAAAACAATAACCCTTCATAAGTATATACATGTGTGATCATGTGTGTATAGATAATAGATATACATATATGAGTGTATCTGAAAAGTTCGATAGCCCATGTCGCAGCACATGGCTTACCCGAAAGCTTCTGCAGCACTTACGTGACTGCAGTTTTAGCTTATGCGGAGGGGTTGCTTACGCCACTGCTTATACAACCCTACGCCTCTGGAGGTTTTGCTTACGCGCCTCGATATGACAATAAGGTCTCAACGTCGGGCTTACGCCGAATCTTGCGTAGCCCTTACGCGATCACAGTGTTTGCTTGATCGCGCAAGAGGGTTTACCGAATGGATCATATGTACCGCTCGTATAAATTGTATATATATATACACACAAATTCGAACGGCCATTGCCTTGAGTAGTGCGATGAAATGTGATCATCAATCATCTGAGTCTCGGACTGTTGCCCCTTGGGCACAAACCTGCGGTGCACTGGTTTTTGAACGTGCACATGTTGTCCTACAGGCCAGTGCCAAAGCAACAAGTTTGGCAATCACTGGACTATGCAGCACTTGCACGCTTTGAAGCCAACGTTCGAACTAACACAGCTAGATGCATTTGTTCAGCCATCTTGGGATACTGCGAGTGATATTTTGCATCAACTAGCTTGCTTTGTGAAGGAGACCCAGCTAGCAGCTAGCTGCTAGTCAGCACCAATCGCAGGAACTTCCCATCCCCAATGTTCTGCGAAATTGGTAACTCATGTTCGAGTGAATGTGTCCTGAAAGCAGAATTGGGAACACAAAGCACACAATGCGTGAATATTATCTGTCAACATCACTGATGTCAATGCAGCAAAAACCCAATGAATATCACCGAATAATTAATAATATGTCACTGTTGCCACCGTCTTTTTCCTCACTCGCCAGCTGCCAGGAGAGGTCGAGAAGGCTTGCCAAGATTGCCTGCCGTCACTTCTCTGGCTGCAACTACAACACTACATCCTAGCAGCAGCAGTGTGAGAAATGCAGCGATGGAAAGGATCAAATGGTGCCTGGCAGTGATGGACTTGCGAGCTGCTCGGGTGGTCAATGCATGTGGTGGCTTTAGTGCAATGGCACAAACTCCATCTTTGCTGAAGTCACGGATCCAACAATCTCTCTTCGTTCCTGATCCCCACTTCCGTGCCACCAAGTCAGCTTTCAAATGATCATCAGATCCATATCCATCAATGTCGTGTGTCCCTGCTGTCTCATAAAGATCTGTGGAAGGTCTAGGTACTCCGTACTCATAGGCACAAGAGATTTCTTTGGTCTTCCTTTCCAGAACCAGGGCCCAGGGTGTATATTGATAAGTACGCCGCCTGGACGAGTACGTCGCCTGCAACCTCCGAGAGGACTCTGAGACAAATTCAGAGTCTGCATCATTTGCGCAGCGCTGCTGCTCCAGCGGTCGGTGCTGCTCGTGTTTCTGAAGGATTTGGCGGATCTTCTTGGGCGTGCACCAACAGAACTTCTTGTGGTTTGGAGCTGGATCTACCAAGATCTGGCCATGTTGATCTACACCACAAAGATGCTGAGATCCATTGGACTCCAAGGTATAGGATGAATTTTCAGGAGTGTGGTAGCGATAGCCATCGAAAAGTGCCCGGCTGTAAGTGATCTGGCCAACGCAAATACAAGGTTCATTTTCTTTTGCACAAAAAAAAGGTGCCAGGGCAAATGGATCGCTGCCAAACCGAAAAAGCCGGTGCGGACGCATCATAAGAGGCTGGGGTTGACATGTTGCTGATATTCTGGCTGCAAAGGTTCCAGTCTCTCTCATCTTTGCTGTCTTTGGTGTTGATGCAACTGACGCCAGTTGAGAGGATTGTGCAGTAGCTCCGCTGCCAAGTCGCATCATCCCAAGCCTCCGCCTCCTGCTGAAAGACTTCGGCGGTCCAGAACTCGTAGCTAACCACATGAAGAATAAACAGGACAAAACCGAGCAGTACCAGGACAGATATCAGTCTCGTACATGGGTCCCGCGTACCAACTCCACACATTGCATCCCCATTTCAGTCACGCCTTACAGAAGAAGCCAAAACATACGCGCATAAGCTAGTCTATCAAGTATATGAGTGCGAGTCTTTAGTGGCTGTACAAATCTGTGAACCGGGAATTGAATTTTAGGGCATTCTTCAGGACAAGTTCCATGCTTCTGGTAAATTGAAATGTCACTATGCAGTGCGAGGCAAGCTTTTATGTGCTGTATGACGAACTCTGACAATGACATAATATGACGAGCTGACAAGCCTACAACGGGCAAATATCTGGCCGCGCTAGACTTGCAGAGTGGCTGCTCTCAACTTGGATGCACTCCCCCAGCAATACAAATTATTAGTTCACGCTTACTTAAACACTTCAAAGACTTTGTAGAATGACACAGTTTCAGATCGCGGCAGGGAGCTGCTTTTTTTATTCCAAAATGAGCTGATTTGAGTCTGTAAATCCGGCGAAGGCGATGTCGCTCTCCTGTGGCAGGTGGGGCGGAACTCCAACACTCCCTTCTTAACGCCCACTTTACTCCAGTGTGCTTCACAGCAGGCTCCCTCAACGTGTGCAAGTGACATTAATCCTACCATACTCTTCCTATACTATATACTGGCTGGATTGTTCAACGTGTCAGTTGCAGCCTCACCTAACTACAAACCCAATGGCCTAAGAGAGTGTCTTGTCAAAAAGGCCTTGTGTATGGCTCATTGAGTACTTCAACGGAAAAGGTCTATGTGTGGGTCTATCAGTGTATCCCAACCCTGGTCTCCTTGATGAGAACCTCCACGCGCGACAAGTGGCCAAGTCCTTGTCCTCCAGCCCTTTTACATTCCTGCCAAACGTCGATTGCCAGAAGTGCCGTGCTTACTGACAAAGAACAATATTTATCCGTTAGCTACACCTTGACCTTGAACCAGTCATCCATCTAATCCTAAACACTCTAATTTAAACTGACCTGCACGAACAAACATAAAGGTAACACAATTATCCAACATAAGTACCCGTTTGGACAAACATGGTGTTGCTCATAGCATCTGATGACCTCTGATGGATCGCACCTTGTGATGCTCGGAGAGACCAGAAACAAAATGTTTGTGGATGGCCTGAAGGGAAGTGCAAATCATCTGAAACAGTCCCATCAATGCAGCCGCACCACGTGTATAGTAGTCACAGCGTTGAGGTTCACTTTGCTCTACTATTTGTTTTGGGCGAGTCTGCATCGAGCTGGCGCCTGAGCCATAACCTCAACGGTTGTATTTCGCCGAGGCTGCTGGAACTCTTCCTCAAACGCACTTGCTTGGCTGCCCATCTGTTCAATCCCTGACAAATGTGTTGTCTCACTAAAAGAACTACACGCCCTGAAGTTTACTACTCATGTCAACATAGGATTAATCAACCCCTTCAAGGTCAACAATGTTTGAGATTGGAGGTATTGGAGATCAGATCCCCCCCAATAGAGGTGATCACCTGATGGATGGTGGTTGATGGGATTCTGTGTAAACCATGAGGCCTGTGTGAGGGGTACCGTTTGTTAGCTTGAACACCTTAAGATTTTGATAGTTTTAATGAGGGAACATGAAAGAACGTTGCTAGAGAGGTTTTAGGGATTGTGGAACAGAGGTTGCTTGGGAGAACAGTGGCAGCTTAGATTGCAGCTTTAAAACCGACTATATATATATATATTTTTGTATATATACTCATGAACTATTCTTCCTTTTCTGGAGCAACTGGGCTTGATTAATGGGGAAGGTTTTTGCCAAGAAATATGGTTATTAGAGGGATGTCAATGTCAATGTGGAATTCAGGTTCCAAAGTAGTTTATTATTGGCGGCTCGAGCTGGGCTTGATTAATCAGGGGAGGTTCCTTAATCCTGTGCACATGACGAGTGAAGCGTCTGTGACATAATTCATGTGTACGTACGTATAATTTCATATATATATATAATTATATATATATATAAGATAGATAGATAGATAGATAGATAGATAGATAGATAGATAGATAGA